CCCTATTGTAAAGTCATGCAGTGTGTAACCTCCTGTCATCGTTCCATCGTGCAGTGTGAACACGGCAACAACTGAATGCTACCCCAGATAGTCGTTCAGTGTGAAACCAACAGTGATGCGACGTCTTTGAAAATCGTGCAGTGTGAACTCGGCATAAGATGATGAGAGTTTAGAGATTATAGAGACATTTACCTGTTTGTATATTCACCCAGCAAATGTGCTCTTCCATCCCCCAGCTGTCCTGCCCAATAACCAAACTATAAAAAATAATAATCAAACAACATAGTTGAAATGTTTGTTTTGGTTGTCTTATGCCATTGCTGTTAGGTTTGAAACTTCAGTTTTACCTGATGGCCCCCGTATCTGTGTGCCAGTGGAATCGAGCCAGGAAACAGTTTTCCACCACTGACACAAAGAACAAATTCTTCATTCTGAATCACAGACTCATTCAGATCCAAAATATTCCTCAACACATCCTGAAATACACATAAAGAGAATCAAATATGTGGAAACAACATTTACAAAAAAAGTATTGTGGTGGTACAGTGATGTATTTGATAATGCCATTGTACTCTCATAAATACAAAGGCATTGACAAGCATTTAGACAAGCTTGATTGAATTCATGTTTCTCATGAAATCAGTTGTCAAAACAAAGAAAAAACAAGTTGATTAGGAATTGATAAGCTGAAAACTGAGATCTCTTTGAAATAAATACGTAAATACGTAAAATACGACAAATCATTATCATCATTAACTCATTACAATAAGTTAAATGCTCGTGACAAACACATATAGCCCAAATGCTATGGATCATTTATACACTATGTAATAGTAGCAATTGATTTAAGGAGTTGGTGGTCCATAATTTTGTTTTGATGAAGTGGTCTGCCGCCCCTTGTGATTTTTTTTTTAGTATTGAATGTGCACAAACCCTAATTTTAACACATTTTAATGGAAAACAACTTGTAGACAATAAAATATTGATTATATAAAAGGCCACTTAAACATATATTTAAGCACACGTTCTTATCATTTTAAGTGTAGTGTTACTTGATTTTACATTTTAAATTATATATTTCAAATGCACTTAATTGCAACTTCATCAATACAGATGTATGTATATGTATGTGTATATATATATATATATATATTAAAAAGTTTAAATAGAAATGCCATTCAAGTACATTTCAGTTTACCAATGTAAATTTGTCAGTACATTTGTTAGTACACTTTAACCGTATTTTAAAGTCAAAAGAAGTGATGAACTTAAGTGATGTACTTACAATTATAAAGATGTACATAAGTTCTACTTAAATAGGTCTCTACAGATCAGCTAACTGCATTTAATATGAATTTAAACTTTAATAACTTTTCATTTTATTGCAATTAACTTGCAATTAAGTGTCCGAAAAGATTACATTCTGTTCACACTTGAGTATATTTATTTAATCTACATTATTTCAGTAATACTTTTGTTAAAAGTATGCTGATGTGTATTACTTTTTTCACAAGGGCATGAATAAATTATGATGATGACTTTATTACTTTTTTTTTTAAGGTGAACAAGAATAGTAATAAAGAATGGTTGGATGTGACCAAACTTTTGACTGGCAGCTACCATTTTTCAATTAGAGAAGCACAGTTACTACAACAATATCCCCAGGTTTCGCTGAAGGGTTTCTTACCTGTGACACAGCAGCCAGTGTCAGGGGCTCTTTCAGAGGGGTGGGCTGACACTCTGAAAACACACATCCCTTCACAGTACGAATAACAGGACCATCCACCTCATCAAGAGGGAGAGCATCTGTAAAACACACAGACAGTGATTCAATCACAGTCAAGGTGTAAAACAGCATGTTTACACTCATAATGTAAATCTTACCTGAAAGTTTATGTGATAATGTCAGTGGTATTTCTCCATATGTTTTTACATTGGTATAGAAGTGATTCTGCTCAAAGTCTCGTTCATTACAACTTTTACTCTCACAGAAATCTTGTTCGTCCCTACATGTAGTGCTAGCGACGGCCGAGAAAAATAAAAAATAATGTGAAACCATGTTTTGTCATTACATCAATCTCACAAACATGAAGTTATTTGCATCCGTACTTAACCTCATCACGGAACTAGAGGAGAAATCAGTACTATTTCCTTTGTTACACAAACAATACTCTGACGTTCGACTAGGGGGCGCTCGGCGGCTCAAAAAGCCGTGTGAATCTCTGGACTTT